AAAATAATCATAAATTTAAAAGGAGAGCTGTACATTGCAAGGCTGCTTTGAAAGGATAGGAGACTTGCTATGAAAGAACACAATAAGATCTTCCTTTTCAGGTCAAACCAAGAGACCAACAGCAGTTAATATCATTACCAGTCTCACCTGCAGAGCATTTTCAGATTAAAAAAAAAGAAATAAATATAACCCCTTGCTCCCAGATAAATATATCTCCAAAAATGTTGAACACAATTGCAAATCTCAGCATACACCCAGTGAGTAACAGAAGACTATACAGGAATTTGATGTAAAATTGACACTTGAAAACCCTGAAGTGGTTGCAGGTTTTTGTTTTCTTTCTTGGTTTAAGGATAAGAGGAAGGGATAGGACAAAAAAAAAAAAAGGAAGAAATGGATTTTTAACAGTCAAGATGTGGTCAGGTTATGGGGATGACTTTTGAGCTTTTTCAGAGCTCTTTAAACTTAGATGAATTGGGCCATAACCTCCTACTCTTCTCTTCCTTTTCTGTGTTGGCACTGAGACTCCAGTACACGTAGCAAAATGAACAATAGGAAGGGATGTTATAACCAAATATCTACACTTGTGAGTAACACAAATGTATGAACAGCGCATTATATATTCGTTCTCTTGATAAGCACACTCCATTTTGTTCTGGAGGTTTTTAAGTTCACTAACCAGCACTTAGGAAAAGTAAAACCCTCTATGTAATGAATGGCAATGACATCTTACAGTACTTACACTACTTTGAAAGTCTTGTACACAAGACTTGTATCAGACTAACTTTTTGGTTTTCTTCCTATAATACAAAGACATCTGACTTATATATTCTTAAACTAACTCCTGTTTTAAAGCTAAATCCTAAATCCAAGTTAATCTGAAAGAAAAAAAAAAAAAAACACCAAAAACTTGAGTTCCCAAAGAAAACTAGAATTACCTTTATAATATTTGTACTAGTGTATAATGTTTCATACAGAGCTATATTCTAACCACCCACAATGAGACATGTTCAAGATACTCTTCAGCCTGTACTTTAAATGTCTTGGGTTTTGTGCCATAATCCTGTTACATAAAGTTATTTCTTTATTTCTTTCCTTTCCGATACGCTATCATCCATCTGCCTGTCTCTCTTTGGAACTCCTTTAAGGTTCACAAGAAGAAATAATGCTCCAGTCTGTTTCCATTGGCCCTGGCTTTCACCTCCAACGGTGAGCATAAAGGACTACTTATTCCAATACAGGCCATTGAGAGAGAATCTATCCCTCCCTCAGTAATAAAAAATATTCTATGTTCTTCCTTCCTTCTCCAGAAGTCTTTTTGCTGTCAGATGGCTCCCCCTGAATCAAACTCAAGAAATGCTCAGCTGTTTCTCCAAGTGCATAAGGACACCATCAGGCATCTGAGTGTAGCTTGTGGCTGCCTCATTCCAGGTGTCGCACATCTGGCGCTGCTCCTGCAGTGACCAGTGTCATAAAACAGGAGGGGCCTTGGCCTGGCTTTCATCCCAATCCTTCTCCAAGGAGCCCAGTGGAAACGTGGACTGGGAATGTGAACGCCGCTCGTTTTCAGGGAGAAGGTTTGAATGAGGAGGCGGTTTGAAGGAGAGCAATAAACATCACAGCTCGGGTTATCAAATGCCACATCAGGGCTTCATTTCCCTGGAATCACCGATTGCCATCCGTTTTTTATTTTGTCTTACATGGAAAGCATTGCCCTTCCTGGGTAACACCGTTAAGCCCAAGAACTCATATGTAGGTAAAGACACAGATATGATTTCATTTTTTGTTTTTAAGTCTGGGAGAGGAGAGAATAACTAAGCTACCAGTACCGAAAAACAACTGAGCACTTGGAGGAAACACAAACCCCTGAAATATGATTGCTCTAATATGGCAAAGATAAGACACCGTTAATGATCTCCCATAATTCTTTTCATGTTACACAGCATTTAAATCTCAAGTTTGATGGCTTCCAAATTCCTCTTCACGCCCAGCTTTTGGGGGGTCACACAACCAAAGTAAATGAGGCTGGCATTGCACAGGCTTTTAGTGCTTTCAAACCAACTGGTATTAATACACATAAATGCAAAACAGGGGCTCTAAAGGCAGTGTAGCTGAAGGAGAGGACTCAGAGAAACGAGGGTTACACTAACGGAGTAATGACCGAATGGGTGGCTATAAGGCAACTTTAAACAGCGTGCCAAAGGGGAGCTCCGTCTCCCCTCTCCTTGTACATTTCTGGCTCCTCATTTCCTCCGTGATCTGATAAGTATGAACTTCTAAATAAAGTGTCATCTTTCTTGCAACAAATCAATGAACAGAAAGCTCCCATCAACAATGCAGATGTTTCCTAAAGCTCCTGCTGATGATTTCCTGAATGTCTATCCCACAAACCACACCGCATGTTCTCTGAGAACAAGGAAGCCTCTTTACCCCATAACAAACACAGCTTCGATGTGCGTATGTGTGGGTGTGTGCATTTAAAAAGAGGACTAGGAGCCCTAGCTGGTTTGGCTCAGTGGGTAGAGCATCGGCCTGCGGACTGAAAGGTCCTGGGTTTGATTCCGGTCTAGGACATGTCCCTTGGTTGCCGGCACATACCCAGTGGGAGGTGTGCGGGAGGTGGCTGATTGATGTTTCTCTGTAATCGATGTTTCTAACTCTCTATCCCTCTCCCTTCCTGTCTGTAAAAAAGCAATACATTTTTTTAAAAAATGTGTCTACTGAGACTGAAGAAATAAATCTTAAATTAAAAAAAATAAAAATAAAAGAGGACTAATAAGTAATATGAAACTGATAACAATGAGTCACCACAAAAATCACCTTTTGTTACCAATTTCAGATTGAAATTTAGCCCTTTCCAAATGCTGTGGTACAAATATGGAAAAGGAGAACTCATATTCATTGCATATTTGTCCCTACAGATGAAATAAAATTGTTTTTGCATTCCCTATCACAGATTTACACCAATTGTACCTCCATATACACAATTATATTTTGGGCATCCTTCTCCCTATAATATAATTTAAAGTAATTCCACCCCAAATAGAAACAGAAAAAATATTTTTAAGAATATAATCCCACCTTGATCCCTCCTGCTATCCTTATCCTGCAAAGGTCAACTCTGTATTATTAAAAGATTAAAAATTCTATGGGTTACTAACTAAGCCTTCAAGTTCACATCTAAGCCTGGGCTTATCTATATATATAAAAGCCTAAGCGACCAGATGGATCAGAATGACCAGAACAACTGGTCTCAATGACGCGCACTGACCACCAGGGGCAGACGCTCAACTCAGGAGCTGCCCCCTGGTGGTCAGTGCACTTCCACAGCAAACCTCCCCCAGCCAGCCAACCTCCCGCATTCTCTCCCCCCAGCCAAACAGGCTGGGATGGGGAACTGGAGGTGGGTGGCAGCTGACATGGTCCCTTTCCCAGGGGGACTGAGGGCCAGACCCTCCTTGGGGCTGGTGGTCAACCTCCAGTGCCCTGATCGGCCTGCTGCCCGCCCACTGCGGTGGCAGTGTGGCAGTGAGTGAAGGAGGAGGGAGCAGAGGAGTAGGGAACCGCGTGGTGCCAGGGTGCCAACAATGGCGGAGTCAGCATCTGGTGTCCATTCCTTCCATGCCTGGCATGGTGACTTCCCCTCCTCTCTGGCTGGGCCTTGACTGGCCTGACTCTGATTGGCCCTGATCCGGCCAAGCTTAGGGACCCCACCCGTGCACCAGGCTTCCAGTCTACTCATAAAGGAGCCTTATGGGAGAGTTCGTTTTAAATACTCTTCCAGACTACCAAATGTTATAATATTTTCACTTTTGCCAAAAGCTCCCATCTACTGCATTCTGTTAGTTTCAATTATTCAGGGCAACCCAGGCTGATAATTACACAGTCCCCAGTCGCTGAATAAAAGTGATGCTTAATTAGCCAGCAGGAAAGATCGATTAAGATCCAGCAGGGCATCTTGTGAGGTTCTCTCACACTCCTGGAGAGAAGAGACTCTGGCTGTGCCCTTTGAAAGGATGAAGCTCCCTGCTTCCCAGGAGTTTCAGGGAGGTTTCTAAAGTAGCTGCTCAGATCGGTCAGCCACACAGATTACCTCCCAATTCTAACCCTGCGGATGCTCTGCCCTTCCTAAGTGTACTCAGATCAAACATTCCGAATCACACCACCAGGTTGGGAAAGGCTTCGAGTCATGCTCACTTATCCCCAACTCTCTCTCAGTTACCACACTGCCAGTAAGACCTGGGTGAGAAGTATATTGTAAAGGACATTTTTCATTGCTCCCTCCCCACACAGGTGTATGCATCTGTCAGGTGCTCACATTCTCAAAGGCACAAACTAGGTGCGAGCCTCTTATTTAAAAATCCTAATGAGCATGATGGCCCAGTCCAGTCTGAGACTGAAACATTCCAATATAGTCAAGAATAAGCTAGATAAGTCTGGGTTTATAATTTTTGTTTGTGTGTGGGGGTTTTGTTGTTGTTTGTTTGTTTGTTGTTGTTTGGTGTGTGTGTTTTTTGAAGGAGATATGGAAGAAAAATTAGGACTGAAAATCATAGTGAAAATTAATTGTATCACGCTACCTCACATATTCCCTTTAGCAACGTGGGCAAGCACAAATGTTTCGCTGTCACACATTTTGCAAAGGTGTTCAGTAAAGACCAATATAGTCTAAAGCTAAAAGCAGGATTGTTATCTTTAGACACATAACTGTCAAACTGTTTCTATTTTGGTAAACTATACTAATTATACCTGCCTCGTTCCAATTCAATTCAGTAAATGTTTTATTAAGCTTCATGTGAATGGTTAACTTACCTTGCATTTAAATAAAATAAATGTACATACACGCACACACAAAAATAATATTCACTAGGCTTCTACCAAGTATAAAGAACTATGATGGGTATGTCTTATCTTGTTAACTTATACACTACTAAAGTAGATTTTACTGATTATATACTGTCTTAAAATTATGAGGAAGAAGAATGGAACCTTATACAAACCTAGCTTTGATTTGCTGAAAACCCCGAAGAATGTGGTCTCGGTGGTCCCTTGCCACAGGGCTGAGGTTCTCATTCCTCAAATCTTCCGCCAGAAACTCCTCAGCATCTAAAAGAAGAGGAAAGTAGATCAACTAAAAAGTACTAAAGGAAAAACAGGAAAATTTGAAGAGTTTAGAAACGGATATTATTTTCTCTCTAAAAACTTTAAAGTTGCAGAACAATGTGAATGCACTTAATGCCACGGGCCTGTACACTTAATATTGGTTAAAATGGTAAATTTTGTCACGTAGAGTTTACCAGAATAAAAAATAAATAAAACTTTATATATGCCTATAAGTGACACCTTTGGATAACACAAAGCATTGCTACAAATTTAGAAAGTTAATGCATATATTAACAACACCAAAAATCTATTTTCTAAGCTATTTTAAAGGAATATGTAAGTAGTAAATATCATTGGCAGAGGATGGACTGTCATTTTCACAAACATCTAAATATTACAAATAATTCATGGAAGGTCACAGACCAATAGGAGCTAGAAAGAAGTACCAATAAATAAAGCTGAAGTGGAAAAACAGAGCAGAACTGCAAAATCAAGAACAAAAGGGCAAGCATCCAAAGAAGAAAAATTAATTAGCAGATGCATCATCAATGAAAATGACACTGCAGCCAAGAGAAGGAACCCACATGGAAAAGAAAAATGTGTCTAAGAGAAGGAAACGGCAATTAATGTGAGCATACATTATAAAACAGGAACATGGTAGAAAGATATAATATGAAACAAATCATGTTATGTTGAAAGAAATTGGGGGAGAACTATAAATTTTCAAATTATAATATATTGATAATGATTACAATTGTCAGAAACACTAGCTACACACTTTGTTATACATAAAATGGTTATCATCCCTAAAAAAGTATATAAATAATATAGTTAAAATTTTCCACCTCCAAAAATAGAGCCTGTAATATGAAACTGTACCATAAATACTATCAAAATAATGTTAGAGTTTATACAGTTGGGTCACTGTATAATAAGCACCCTTACAAATCTATTTTACATTCATACCATTAAAAATCACCAAACAAAAAATTCCAGATAGCCATCACCAACATTTTTGATGAGGTATAAAGTTCTGAAAATTAGAATTTCCACAGAGGACCACCATCAACTTCTATATCCTGCATCACAGCTGTTGTATATGTCATTTAGTAGGTTTTTCCAAGATCCTATGAAGGCTAAAGAATAAGAAAATGAGAAGTTGAATTAAAAGGTAAAAATAAATAGTACCCAAAATTTAATTAATATCACACACCATATTAACCGGGGGAAAAATCACATGATCGTCTCAACAGATAAAGAAAAAAAAATTGGACAAATTTCAATATCTCTTCATGATAAAAATCACTCAACAAACCAGGAATAGGAGAAAACGTTCTCAACTTGATAAAGAGCATCCACAAAAAACCCACAGTTAATATATAATTAACAGTAAAAAGACTGAATACTTTCTCCCTGTTCCCAAGGTCGGGAACAAGACAAGAATGTCTGCTCTCACCATTTATACTAAAAACTTTACTGGTACTTACCAGGGAGGTTATGCAAGAAAATTAAGTTTTAAAAGTCTAGATTATATAGGTAGAAGTAAAACTATCTCTACTTTCGGATTTTATGGTCTTGTATCTATATAGAAAATATCTGGGTGCATGGAACAGACTGACAGATCTCAGAGGTGAGGGGAGTGGAGGAAATGGGAAGAGATTAACCAAAGAACTTACATGCATACTAGAGGCCCAGTGCACAAATTCGTGCATGGGTGGGGCCCCTCAGCCTGGTGGGGCCTGGCGGCCAGAGGGAGGAGCTACAGGAGATTGGCCAACCATAAGAGGTTGGCTATGGGAGCACATCGAGTGTCTGCCCCCTGGTGGTCAGTGTACATCATAGCGATTGGCCTTTCAGTTGTTACAGTTGCTTAGGCTTTTATATAGAGAGATATGCATAGCCTATGGACATAGACAATAGTGTGGTGAAGGACAGGGACTGGGTGGAGGAGGGCAAAGGCAGGGAAAATGGGGGGCATCTGTATACTGTCATTTCAGCCTGTGCCAATCCTTTTGCATACAGACAAAAAAAAATCTTCAATGTATAAGCCAATACAGACAGAAATTTGTGCCATCCTTCTCTTAGAAATGTGAGTTCTGCTTTAGTAGTTCAAATACTTTCACAAAATATCCCCCCTAGGAATACTTTTATTGGTGTTTGGTTGATGGATTTGTTTTCAGCAGCACTGACCATTCATCCTGCCTCCATACAGAAGGTTGATTAAAGCAAACTTTTGAGCTGTAGAAACATATATCAACAAAAAGACATTTGCAACTATTAGGGAACACCAACAACTTTTTTCCTTTCCGTGTATTAGGAGCATTGCTTAGAAAACAGATGGAGGCAAACTTGAAAAATGTGACCCATAAGACATCATTCTCCAAATAAACAAAATAGCCTTGCAAATGGACAGGGTCAGAGATCTGGGGGTACGTCAGAGGCTTTCACCAGTCTGCAAAGCCTAGTGATCTTGGGCGTGTCCTGCTAAGTCAGAATCTTCTCAGCCAGCCTACAGTCCTGCAGTGCCATCTCCCAGGGATGTGAAGGTCAGATCATGCCTAGTGTTCCATCCACATACTCTCTGCTCCCTTAGCCTCCTGTCTTCCTTTCCTATTGATTATTCTGCGATTATTTGCTGGAATAAACAAGCTGCCTGGGAGCTGAGGAATCTATGTTTTAGGACAGCTGTGAATTATAACAGGAAGATGCATCTTTGCCAGAGCTGTGCTTACCTTTTAAATATGGGACTTAACATCATTGTTTATTACTTTTAGTACAAAATACTGTATATTGTTACAAGGCAGCCTTCCAGAATAATCTTTTGCCACTGTCCCTCTTGCCCCTAACTTGTATGTTCTGCCTTCCAAGTTGAAATTCTTTCAGGTTCTCTGAGATCTGTCACCTCAAGACCTTTGGACATATGTTCCCATGCTTATGCTACTCTTTTTTTTTTTTTAATCCTCACCTGAGGATACATTGATTTTTTTTTTTTTTCTGAAAGAGAAAGTGGAAAGGAGGGAGGAGGGAGAGGAGGAAACGGGGCGGGGGGGATAAAGAGAGAGAGAGAGGAACATTGATGTGAGAGACAACACTGATGGGTTGCCCTCCACATGTGCCCCAACCAGGGACTGAAACCACAACCCAGGTACATGCCCTGACCAAGAATTGAACCTTCTGGTATACAGGATGATGCTCCAACCAACTGGGCCACACCAGCCAAGGCCATAGTAAGTCTTGAAGTTGACTTCTCCACCTTTGGTTCTCCTTTTTCTTCTCCTCCTCTTCCTTTTTCTTTAGTACTGTATTAAAAATATACTGGGAGGGCCGGGACCGGTTTGGCTCAGTGGATAGAGCATCAGCCTGCGGACTGAAGGGTCTCGGGTTTGATTCCGGTCAAGGGCATGTACCTTGGTTGTGGGCACATTCCCAGCAGGGGGTGTGCAAGAGGCAGCTGATCGATGACTCTCTTTCATCGATGTTTCTAACTCTCTGTCCCTCTCTCTTCCTCTCTGTGAAAAATCAATAAAAATATGTGAGGATTTTTGAATTCCTTAAATTTTCTTCATGAATATATTATCTTTAAATAGCTATACATTCATTATATGGATCTGTGATATAACTAATGTTAAGTGGAAAACCTCAGCACGTTTGGTATCTAATTTTTGAAAGTGAAGATAAAAGGTCATGTTAGAGAATAAAAACAAAGAGTGGTGGGATTATAAGTAATTATAATTTTCTTCCTCGTATCAATTTCTGTATTTTGCAAATTTTCTACAATGAGCAATAATGCCTTTTTTTATTATTAGAAGAAAAGGTAAAATGTGTTTGTGTTTGTAAGTCTGAGAAACACATTTTCTACCTTTCCCCTCTCAATCTACCAGAAGCATCTGCCCCATAATTTAGTACCTGAATTTGTGTTTACTACATTAAATTATTGGGGGGAGGAGTACAGGGCAGTGATTAAGAGCTCAGACTCTGGAGTAAGATTACCTGGATCCATATCTTGGCTGCACCACTTGCTCAGTGTGTAAGCTGGGAGCAAGTTTTTTAATTTTAGTTTTCTCATCCAGAAAATGAAAGAGTAGTATCTACTTCGTAGGTAACCCAAGGTCTCCTGAGGTGACGTGACATGATGTTGATACTGGAAAACGTTTTGTGCTAAAAAGGTTGGTCATTTAATAGAAAACCCATCAGGTAGAGTGGTGAGCATGGTTGAAAAAGGGAGGTGATCTATTGAGGAGCCATTCCAACTTTCTCCCCTGGACAGTGGTGAGTGGTGTGTTCCGAGCGGTACTGCTCAGGCACCTTTCGGATCACATTCACTGTGAATAGCATCATCTTTTAATATATATATTTTATTGATTTTTTTACAGAGAGGAAAGGGAGAGGATAGAGTTAGAAACATTGATGAGAGAGAAACATCAATCAGCTGCCTCCTGCACACCCCCCACTGAGGACGTGCCCACAACCAATATATTATACATGCCCTTGACCGGAATCGAACCTGGGACCTTTCAGTCTGCAGGCCGACGCTCTATCCACTGAGCCAAACCGGTTTCGGCAGCACCATCTTTTAAACTGAAGGGCAAATGTATTATGTATTGGTCTGTAAATTTTCTTCCCTTAATATAAAGTTCCAATATCAGGTTACATTGGCTTCATAAAATAAATTGGAAAGTGTCTGCTCTGGTAATAATAGTTTGTGTAAGAATTGTATTACTTCTACCTTAAATGTTTAATAGAATTTACTTGTGAAATCATTGGGGCCTGACTTTTCTTTCTAGAAAGGTTTTTTTAAACTATAATATTCTATTTCTTTTATAGACATAGGAGTATTTGGATTTTGGATTTTATTTTGTGTCATTTTGGTGAGTTGTGCTTTTCAAGGGATTTATTGGTTTAATCTATTAAATTTATTGGCAAAAAGACGTTGATACTATTCCCTTATTCTTTTAACTTCTGTGAGATTTTTAATAATATCCTGTCTTCATTCCTGATATTGG